AAAATTTTATTTTTAATTTTAATTTGTACAATTAATATAATATGTGTATTGTGTTATTTACCCTCTACCAAAGTGATACCTAATGATAGTATGAATGTTTCATATTATAACCCTCTGCTTTATTTAGGACTACAGCACTGTTATACATGATATACCAATGACGTCAATTAGAAGTCACGTTAACTTAATAAAATCACCTTTATCGTCAATTTCTTTAGGTAAAGGACGCCTTAATGGTAATGTGACAGTTGTATCTGCACTAGCATCAAGAGATGACGGAATGTGTGACTTTGTTGGAGTTTTTGGAACTGCTTCATTAGATCGAGCATCTTCAAGCAAAAACTGTAAAAATCAAGTCATATAAAACAAGTAATTAAAAATACCTAATAAAATTAAAATTAAGTACAGCAAAACATCAGCCCAATGCAAAGCACATTGTTAAACATAGCAAAACATAATTCTAGAGCATTTTAAATCATCACAAAACTAACATAATTCAAACGGGACCATAAATTCTTCTACACACGGAAATGTCAACAAACCTTGCTGCCGTTTTCAACCCTAAGTCTCCAAGACGGCCTTCGTTCCAAACAGCTATCTGGCATGTTAGACGGAATATTTCGGGGCAATGGAGTAATGGTAGCCGTAACAGTTACATGCTCTTCAATTTTAGCCTGACAAATTATTAAACTAGATAGTAATAATGACGTATAATAGTACCTATTAAGTAGGTACCCTTCAAAATGAGTAAAAATGGCCAAGTCATAATTTTATACCATAATTAACTCATTTTTCTACACAAAAAATAATGAAAAAATTAAATTCACATAAGTTTTGGTTTGCATAAATTAATAACTATATAATTCCTAAAATTCMTAACACGTGAAACCAATTATTTATAATTATATCTATATAAGGTRAAATAAAAACAATCTGATACATATAAAAAACAAGTACAATTTATACTGTTTTATGGTGCTTAAAATACGTCTTGCGCATTTATGGTAATATTTTTCTTCGGTAAAATTGTGATTTTTATTTAATCRTGTATTTTTCAAAAAATAAGAATTTTACTTGATCAATATGTAAACTAAATTATTTTATAGTGYAAACACTATATTATTATAGYATACACTTTTATTKATGTAGAAATAGGTTAAGCCATAAACTTTTCTATTTCAAAGCTTAATACAATTCAATTTGGATACAAGGTTTAGAAAATATTGTGTTCTGATATGTATTATTAAATATAAAATACATAKATATAAACTTTAATTAGATAGTATAAATATAAATGTAAGAGCTATTTTAGTTTAGAATTATTGTTTTAATTWTAAAATAAATTCTATTTATAAAGTAAAATTTGAATAGGATTTATTATTTTAAACGAAATTTTACATACATAAATAATATTGGTATACAGTATACATAATATAATTAATGTATATATTTGGTAACTCATCTAGCAAGAAAAATGTTTTTATGGTTCTAAAATTAACATGTATATGTTTCTTAATATTATTCTTGTTTTTATTTGGGCTAAAATTGGGTCATAAGAATATTGAAATTTAAAACTTTCAATATTTTGGCAAATTGTCAACATTTTGGTGTATGATT